CGCCACCCCTGGTGGGGCAGACAGTGGCTCTTAGTTCCATCTTGACCATGACAATGCAGAGGTTGCGATAACCTTCGCTCATGGATATTCCTGTTCCGTACTGAAGACTGCATCAAGGGTATGACCCACACAATGTGTGGACCCGACAACCAGTTGGGATAGGCCCATGCTTGTCATGCTTTCCATGAACTCCCAAGCTGCACCTGTTAGATTTGACAGACTGGTCTCGAGTGGAATGTTGAAGTCGCCCAGAATCAAAAGTCTGGGCGACTCCAGCAGCAACTCAGAGACAGCTGGGTCAGCTCAGTCAGGGAGTCTGTTAAGGAAAGGGGTGGCCGGTATACCAAGAGAACCCCCAAACTATCCCTAGTTCTCAGGCTTAGGTACATACACTCGATGTAGGCTGTTTTCCGGATAGGCTTCCTGGTCAAGGTTAGGGTATTTCTATGAACCAAGGCCACAACCCCCCTGCCCACTTTCCCTTATTTGCTCACTGACCGAGTACCCAGCTGGGAGAGCCTGCGCCCACGTCACAGTGCTGGCATCTCCCAGCCAGGTCTCCGTAAAGCATGCCAGGTCGGCCGCCTCATCCAACAAGAGGTCATGAATGATATGAGTTTTGTTTTTTACTGATCTGGCATTGCAAAGGAGCAGAGTAAGGGTCTGTGGAATGGATGGTACGCTCTCCAAACAAATATGTAGCATGCTACTTTTCTTTTTTAAAAAATTAGAGACACAGATAAGTTACTTCTAAAAAACATCAATCCAAGCTCAATATTTCTCTCAATACTAGAGGTCTACAATCAAAGATTTCTACCTGGTATCTTCTTTTGTTTCTTTGTTTAAAAGCATTGCCATGAAATCTAATCCGTATTAAGAATGCAGTTCAGAGGAGGACAAGTCCTTAAATTTCTGCATGGTACTTAAAATGCAGAGGCTGTCTCTGCAGTAATGTCTTGCTGCCACGGCTTGCATTAGAAGGATGAACTGTCCACACAACCAACACCCACAGTAGACCAATATTAGCAGCACTGTCCACACACTTCCCCAGCACTCCTATCCTGGCCCTGGTCCTGTTAAAATGCAGTATTCACCAGAGAAATCACATTAAATTGAATGTTATAGTGCTGTGGTGGAAGTTGGAATTTCTGGGCAGGAAGAGGTCAGCCGCTTGCCTGGCACAGGGCAAGGTCCTCCTGACCACTTCCATCCACCTGCTGATGTTCCTTTCCCAACCTCACACTGGCACACAGTCGGCATGGTCAGGGGATTCTCTGGAGTTTCTGACCTGATCTGAAGCAAATTGGGACTTTTTTTTTTTACTCTGGAGAATCATACTGAAGTGTGGATTGGACCTGTGTTTCACCCATTTTGGTCCTGTGTATCATTTAAACAAGTCAATGTGGGAACAGGGTGAAAGCATTTCTTTTTCTCCATGTGGACATAGCCAGAGTTTCTTGTCTTGCAAAGAATAACATACTTCACTTCAGTAATGATGCACAGTCTGAAGTTAATACTGGTATAAATAGGTGGAAATGATCCTCAATGTTACCCAGCCTCTCACAAATTTTCTTGAACTAAACAATCCTCCCAACACTTAAAAGGGCACTGACACAGTTGGTGGAGACCCTTCGGTCCCCCCCTTCTTTTGGATAATACCTGTGACTTACACATACAAACTTTGTGTCTGTGCAAAGTCATGTTCAAAACATACAAGAGCTTAGTATAATTTTGGCCATCCCATCTGTTCAGCACATTTACTGCTTCTTCTTGGTTCCTTTAAAGTATGTTTTTATGTTTTAATATCGGCCAGCATCCTGCTCAATATTTCTGAGGTTCTAAGCCCAACTTATACTCTCAGAACTTTTTGGATTCACATTTATGGCTGTTAATATCCAAATGTAACTCCCAAAACCTTTCTTTTAAGCTGGGTGGTGCCCCAATCTGAGGTTCTGTAGAACAGAAGCCTGGGAAATGATGACTGTCGCACACTTGTGGGCATGTTGAGACAAACAGGACCCCAAGGGGTTCC